ATGAGTTACATGAATGATCAGAATTTATTTGAAGTGTTACCCCATCTTTTTTCTTCTTTAAGAAACTGAAATGATGTATTGTCTTCATATGTACGCATATAACCTCTCGCAGACTGATTAAAGTCTCTAAATTTTCCCACAAATATGGAATTTCTGTCCCCTTTTTAACTCGTGATTTTTTCCTCATCACCCCATACCAGTAGAGGCAGTCTGACATCACTGACTGAGTCTAGTTCTGTTGAAGATTTCTTCCTGATAACAGGTAGGCATCCAGGCAACTGCTGGCACACAGCTGAAAGAGTTTATTTGCATTTCCAACTTTGCTATTTAGGGAAATAACAATAGTCAGTTGTTACAAAGACCTGTAAAGTCAAAGATTGTGATTGGGGATTTTTCTCTATGGATGGATGGATGAGATAAACTTTTTTGGTTATTTGGAAGTACATAAATATATCTGAATTAACTTGAACAGTATGTTACAGAACAGTGTGAGTGCAATGAAGGCCCACCAGGAGCCACACTGTTTCTGAGGAGGAGCTGGTGCTGTGGTGTCCATGAGCTGATGTTGGATGGCATGTGATCAGTTGGTTAGCTGAGCTGTTTGCTAGATTAAGGCTACCAGACTTCACACACTACCTAAAAATTCTTCCTTGCTTGCTTACACTTCATTACTGAGTTCCTATACGTTCACATTTGCCAGTCAAATCATCTTTCACTTTTGCATCTTTATTTTTTAGTGCTTTTGATGAATGATTCAGACTCACAACCTTTCAAAAGGCACAAAATACTAAAACTAAAAAAAAGTAAAACTGTAAATGGAAACATTAAACAAGAAATGTTACTTTTAAAAAATAAGTTCAAACACAGAGGAAACCACAACGGAGACATTTCTCTACAAAATGAAGTTCCCACTTCTGAAACTTCTTGCCCACAGCTGTTATTTTTCACCTTAGGTTTGCGAGCCAAATGTTAAAGAAGCAGCCAGTATGTGAGGGTGCATCTCATTCCACATTTCAGACTTTTCTAGTTCGTTTTGAATTAATTAGTCCAGCTTAAAGTAATTTATGTCAGCTGAAGCT